TCAGAAGGAACTTGGGGCCTTGGCTTGGATATTGGACATACCAATAGAGATATAAGGAATATATCCCTGAAATTGAATAGGTGCATTTCACAGTCAGAGAGTCCCCTTCGGTCACAGTGACCTGATCTTCTGGCTGAGTCACAGATTGCGCTCTCAGTCCATCTGTAAATAAACCCACAGTGTGTCAGTGAAGCTACTGAAAAGAATGTAAGCGGACAATACAAGCGGAAAATGGAAGGAATGTTACTCACTCAGTGTGAAGAGAATCCCAAGTGTGGAGATACATGCAGAGGCCATGGCTCCGGTGTGCTGCAGGGAGGCTCCTTTACAGTCCACTGCACTGGAGATAAGGCCTCACCCAGAGGCTGGGCTCTCAAAGCTGGACCATCCCTGTGACAGCAGTGTTTTTAGAAATGGCCCTTCTTCAGGCAACCTGGTGCTTTCTGGCACCTGAATCCTCTCTGTTGAGCAAGTTCTTGGTGCAGGCTCCCCACTGCTCTGTGAGGAGCAATAGATTGCTCCTCTTTGTACCCAAACAGCAATGCCCCCTAGTGCCCACCTGCAGCACTACGACTTTGCTGTGGAGATACCTGCCAGGGCTGCCAGGGCTTCCAGGACTCCTCACAGAGACAGACCTGGGGTGTTCACATTTTCTATAACGAACAGAAAGAGGAATGATCATAAACTACACACATATAAATATGCACATGTTGGTTGGGGCTACCTGGTGGTGCAAGGGGTTAAGTATGAAGTATTATATTACTATGAAGTAATCCACAGCCTCTGGAGCATGCATTGGATCCCCAGCAGGCCAGGGAGCAACACACATGGCGCAGCAGACCTCTCCTGTCTCGCTCTCTGCTCCCCTCAGCAGTGTATTTCAGTCAGTCTACCTGTTCTGTTCCCCACTCTGTCACTGGTGAATCCTCTCACCCCCCACATCTCTGGCCTATACCCCAGATGTTGTATGCATAAATAAATAAATCTTTAAAAAAAAATTATGCACATGTTGGAAGAGTAACACATTTGACTGAGGAATACACAATCGAAAACCTTGGGAATCTTCGTAGCAGCAGAGAAAGAAAAGACCCCCTCAGCAACGGCAGTGTGGGGTTTGAGCCAGACTCAGAATACAGTGAAGAAAAAATCTCTTTATTCTCTCACTACCACCATACTCTGAACACTTCTGACACCAGATGTATAGGATTTTTCCCACATCAGGCAATCCTGCCACACCAGCTGGGTGTCCTCCGGTTTAACTCAGTGCTGACAGTCTACCTGGAGGTGGAGTCGGTACCACAGGGCAAGGGTTCATCCCACAAGAATGTTCCTGCCCTATTCTTATGCCAGTCACAGTCCAGGCTCTTAGTGTTTCCACCCTGTCAGCTACAAATCAGGGGTTCCCACAACTCCCTCATCAGTTTTGATTAATTTGCTAGAGTGGTTCACAGAACTCGGAAAGTCAGTTTACTTTCTGTTTACCAGTTTATTACAAGACACAACAAAGGCACAGATGAAGAGATGTGCCAGGGAAGATGTGGAGAAAGAGCATGAAGCTTCCATGGCCGCTCCTCCAGCTGACCTCTCAGGGCACCCCCACACAGTCGCCAACCTGGAAGTTCTCTGAGCCTCAAACTATTAACATTTCTATGGACAATTTATCATGGTATCCACATGGTCTAGAGATTTCTGAAGCAGGTGAGGTCAGAGAAGCCAGGATCCCCAAGAGCAGGGCAGGACAAGCCCTATCCTGAGAATGAGCTGTGCCTTGAATGACATCAATGGCAGATGCAAGTACCCCTGTGAGGTCCTCAGACAGCTGAAGAGCCTGGGTGAGCCTAGAGACTGTCCCAAGGAAACTTTGCCATCAATGCCAATACAACCAGCATCGCCTGGGCAGACTCACCGGAGACTTGGTCAGCTCTGTGCCACCTGCTTTAGCCCAATATGTAAGTGTCAGGGCTTACCTGTCTACGTACATTCTCAAGATCACTACAACAGCTTTCTCATGTAGGAATTCTGTATTTTGCCTTTTTTTATGGGACGTAAAAATAAATGGCAATAGGGTCTCCCCGGTGGCACAGCGGTTGAGTGCTGGGTTGCGAAGCTGCCCGCAGCCTCTGCAGCGCCAGTTCGATCCCTGGCTGCTCCCCGGCCACCACCGGAGGAGGGTCCCACATGGCGCGCAGACCTCTCCTGCCGCCCGCTGCTCCCCTCAGCAGTGTACTTCGGTCCTTCTGCCTGCTCTGCTCCCTGCTCTGGCTCTGGTGAATTCTCTCACCCTCCCGCGCTTCTGACTGTGCCCAGTGCTTGTATAAATAAATAAATAAATCTTTAAAATAAATAAATAAAATAAACCGCGTATTACTTTTAAAAAATGGCAATATTTACATGCATATAAACTCTCAGGACTTGAAAACAAAGAGGACTTTAGTGTCGTGTAAAAGGAGGCCCCTCTCCCCTTGTCACCAGGGTATGAAGAGCTTCACAGTGTTTCATCTCTCAGGCTAAGCTGTCATTGATGCCCTCTTCTTTGCAGTTCCTCTCCCACCCATCACATTTTCCTCTTCTTTTATTTCATTCTCTTTCCACTTCCCCTTTGGGTAATAATGCCTTTAGTGTTCTGCATATGAGCTGGAAAAATCTGGTAGGAAGACTAGTTGTTCACAGTTTACACAATAGAATCAAAACACGAATGTACATATAGCAGGGGAGGGGGCGGGAGAGGGGTCAAAACAGGTGAGGAAGAATACAAGGGTCTGTGGTGATGGATCTCAGGGGCTGTCGTGGTGGGAGAACCATGGGGACTACACCAAAGGGGAGAAATCAAATATTATACAAAAATAAACAATGATGTAGAAAATAAATACAAAAAAATTTAAATCCGCCAATGTCAAAAATAAAATTTTCAATATACCACACACGTACTCCTCAGTGAACTGGAAAAGACTCCCTAGTATAACCAAAATTTTTCTGTCTTTTTTCCTTGCTTGCAAAGCATTGAGAGGGCCACACATTTACTTACCATTTATTGAGTAACTGCAGTACACATGGTACCATGCAGGACTCTTAAAGAAAAGTTCTCAGGCCTCCCTGGTGGTACAGGGATTAAATCTCAGTGCTATTAAGCTATCACCAGCCACTGTGGCATGAGTTCAATCACTGGGCAGGGAGCTAACCTGCCACGAACCAGCACAGCAGTAGACGATGAGGCCACCTCAGGGTTGAGAGAAGCGTGCAGGGTGGTCAGGGCGTCGGTGAAAGAAATGACAAACAGACACACTTCAAGAGTGAAAATCTGAGTGTAATTTTCTTTAAGTTTGTGACCAGTCTATATATGTTTTCCAAAAGCACAGGAATGAATATCAAAGAAATTAGCTTGCTCATGGGCTCAGTCTATCACCATCAGGGAGGTGATCTACATAACAAACAATGACCATTATAGAAGAAAGAAGGAAGTTTAGAAAGACAAATAAGGGATTAAAGTTTGTCTTGTAGTGGTTCCTGCTTCTGCCTTTTCAGGGAATTTCCGCTGCACTTCCTCTGCTTCAGGGTGTTATGCTGTTCTCCCCCTGTGCGCTGGTTGCCCAGCCGGACCTAGGGACGGTTAACCCTAAAGGTCACTGCAGGGGGAGGTGCAGCACTAACCTACATGGTACAGCAGACCTCTCCTGTCTCACCTACTGCTCCCCTCAGCAGTGTATTTCAGTCAATCCACCTGTTCTTTTCCCCAATCTGTCTCTGGTGAATCCTCTCACCGCCCCCAAACACACCTCTGGCCTACACCCTAGTTCTTGTATGCATAAATAAATAAAATAAATCTTAAAAAAAAAAAAGAATAAGTTCTCATGGCTCCTCTTCTCAGATATTTCATTTGGTTCAAAAGATAAAGTTAATACACTTTTAAACAGGCAGTCATCAAAATAGACTATACCTAAGAAGTAGTACAAACACATACCAATTTATATTTGTATCTGTTAGAGATATTTGGATCATCTTCCCAACTGATGGATGTGCATCCCCATGACATCAGTAAGGCAGACATCAAAGAGCTTTGCTGAGTCTGTTTATACTTGGTGTTTCCAGATTTTATATTCAAGATTTAATACATTTTGAACTAATTTTTGTGTATGGTGAAAAGTATGAAAATTTTTAACTGGATTTTGGATTTCTCAAAAAGTCATTTTGATTTAAAAAAAAATTGCATTCAGATTCAAATTGTTTAAGACATCCTGGGAAAGCTTTGTGACAGTTATTACCAGAATGTTCTTTCTTTTGCAGTCAGCACTCTGCCCTTCACTCTTTATCCCATGTGTAAACACCTGCTGAGGGCCTGCTGTGTACTGCCACTGTGGGGATCAGTTCCTGGCTTTTAAATAACTGCTAGCTTTTATATAAATCTAAGTGGAAAATGGTAGAGAACAGAGGTTCAAGTCTCAAGATCTGGGATCAGAGCATCGGAGCCCCAGGTCAAACTTGACTGAGCAGCAGAACCAATAAAGACCTTCACAGAGAATACAGATTTCTGAGAACTGGCCTACCCTAGAGAATTAAAATTAAAAAGGAGATTGAGTTTTACTACTATTTTAATATTGATTGTCACCGGCATCCTCACTGGATCTATATTTAGGTCATAGCAAGGTATCCTGAGAGAAGGATTGTGTTTCAAACTCAGGGATGTTGGTAGCGGCCACTCACTCACTCACTCACTCATTCCTTGTCTTTCTGCTTCCTATTATGTTTTCCTGTGTTCATTAAACTACCCCTTACAAAACAGAAATGCCTTGAAAATATTCCAGCAAAGAGATTGACGCTAGCAGAAAATAATTAAAATATAAGCACAGAGAGCAAGAAAAAAAATAAATAACAAAGCTGACACGCCTTTCATTCCTACCACAAATTCATCAGCAGTTATTGTGTACAGGCAAAGAAATTAATCTAATTAAATCTCAAAAGAAATGAATCAAAAACATTTCAATTACCAAGAAGACTATTTGAAAGACCATTATTGAATCACCCCCAAAAAGCATATTTTCCTATGTACTTTTGCTAATATAGAATATGTCTGGAGGTCAAGGTTTTCTGATAGCTGTTCCAGGAGGAAAATCTTGGGGACACTACATTAGGGGGAGAAAGCAGTTCTTGCTCATCTCTTTTCCACCTCCTGCAGAGGTTGTGATCTCTGCCCATTTCTGTTCAGCTCCTCGTGGGTTCCCTGCCTCTGTGTCCTCCAGGGCACAGTAGTAAGTGGCAACATCTGCCACCTGCACCTGGGCGATGAACAGTGTCGAGGAGAACCGCTCATAAGACATGTTGTAGCGTCCCTGCTGAACAGTCCTCGTGCCCTTAATAAGGAGTCTTGGAGCGGATTCTGGGAGGTGAATGTACCAGAAGAAGTTGTAAGCATTGGATATAGAGTGATTGCAGGAGATTTCCGCCACAGCTCCCTCTGAAGATAAGACAGTGGAAGTCTGAAGTACTTGGTCTTTGCTCTCTGTAGCTGCAGGTAACAGAGAAGATTGAGACTTATAAATAAATGAATAAATGAACCACAAACAAATGAAGGTTTTGCAATTTTTTTGACATTCTTGCAAGATTTTAATAAAATAACATCAAAACACTGATAGAATGCTTGGAAAATATTTAATAGACAAAATGATTATCAATGTTATTATTAATATACTGATGACATAAGCTGTTTATCTCATCAATATAAGGAAAGTAAATATACGTCATTTATTTTAGATCATGTAAGAGCTTAGTCCCAATATTTAAAGAACCCATGACCTGTATGAACCCCCTATCTTTTCTATACACATTTGTTTAAATATTTAGAGTTCACTATTTAATAGGTGCATTTGCTTTTAAAGATCCGACTATCTGAAATTTAAAACACTGACTCAAAGTGCAGAAGTTCAATTCATTGTAGTAAATCCTTATTTTTATTTTAATACACAATTAGCACTATAAAATGCTGTTCTCAGGTTGTGAGTTTTAAGTTGCTATTTAGCTTGCTAATTCACCTCTTAGGAAAGTGAGTATCAATAAATCTGACCTTTATTTTTTTTCCCAAAATATTGGCCCAAATTTTGAAACAATGGCATATACTTTGGAAAGATCAGTTGGTGAAGGAGTCAACTCACCTTTCCAGAGAAAGCTGAGGAGGAGCCCCAGCCACACTGCTTCCAGAGTGTTCTGCAAAGCCATGCCCATGCACAACCAGTCTCAGGTCTCTGCTGCAAGAGTGTTCCTCCCAAGGCAGCTGATTTAAAGCCACCTATTTTGCATTTTCTTCTTTGTGTCAGCGACATCACAGCCAGAATCTGCAAACTTCAGATGGTGACTACAGTTGGGAGACTGCTTAGTAGTGACTTCAAAGATGCTTGTTCCGAGAAGGTCATCTTAAAAGGGAATATATCCTTTCAAAAGTCACCAGAGCTGTGCAAATTTTATCGCTCTAGAAAAGGGGTCACATAATTGATAGGAAAGCCTGCTTCAACCTTCAAATCACAGTGATGTATCCACACAAAAGATATGCTGAACTTATCACATGTGATATAATCACATGTTAACATACTAAAAAGTATGATCATGAAATCTTAGTAACTAATAAATGAGAGATGGGCTTTTTTCAGGAGTAAAAATTATACTGTAAAAATAACCATCAAAGCTGATTCTTTGCATCCAGGATGGTCTCTAGAACAGGAACAGAAAGAAAATCTCATTTATAATTTTCTGTAACCAAAAGACAAGTGGGTCAAGGTAGACCCTAAGGCTGCATTTGGAGATGAAATCTTTTGTACGGTACCTGCTATCACTGTGTAGTCTGAGACTGTCTCCCCTGTTGTTAAGCAGGACTTATTCTCCCTATAGCTTTTTATTGTTTTATATAAATTTTGGGATAAATTTATTTGAAAAGAAAGATAAAAAGATTTGTGGGCAAAGCTCATATGCTGGTTTTTGTGTGCTCCCCCACCACCTAGTGGACCACCTAAGAACTGCTGGAAACCCAGGCGGCCTCTAAAACAGTCTTCATATCCTTTGCTTTTGTAGAAAATTCTCATCCTTATTCAGTTTCCATAGGGATATCAGGCTATAGAGGAAACAACTGCCTCCTAGGAAAGGTTTCTGGTTATCAAAAGATGTTCTTCATTTGGGTGAGTGGGTACTGGAACAGATAATTCCATGGAGTGAAATATTTTTCTTCCCCATCCTAAGATGGTTACTTGAATCATCTGCTTTCCTTCTTATTTCACACTCTCTCCCACATCAGAAGAAATTACTTATTTCTCTAATCTTTTCTCTCATTTTGCTGGAAGAGTCCTTAATATTTGTTTGGGCTCAACAAAGCCTTTCATTGACAACTATGACCCATTCAAAATCTTCCAAATACAGAAATCCAAAATGATTATAAAATTAGAAGGGAAAAAAATCAAAGACAAATGGGCACATATTCATTTAGTGGAAGAACTAACCTAGCTATTGAGCTCCAAATTTCTGACAACTGAAACATAAAAGGAAACAAAAGGAGAATACAATTATACAAATAAGCTGATTAAGTTTTGAAGCAATATTTTTCTGAAGCCAAGTGGTATATAACTATAGGTAATTTTATACTCTTTTTTCTATTACTGGTTATGTACTTCCTAACTACTGCACATTATTTTACCATGTGCTTCCTCCACATTTACTTATACAATCCTGTAGTGAAGAATTCATAGTCTGCCTCTAGCTCCTGCCAACACAGAAATGAACATATTTCTATATGTTCCCTATGTAAAAATTTCTTTGGGATATGTATCCAGCAAGGGTTGTCCAATCATCATAGTATATACACATATTCAACTTCAATAATTAATCATTCAAAGTAACAATATTCATTTACACTTTCACCAGCAATGAAAAAGCACTCCAGGCTTTCCAAATCCTCTACACTTGGTATTATAAAAATTATTAAACTGCCCAAATTTTACCAGTAAGCTGAGTGTGGAATCTCATTTTAATTCCTATCACTCTGATTATTAATAAAATTGAGCATTTGCATTTTCCTTTTTAGTATTACCCATCCAAATTATTTGCCCATTTCTGAATTAGGTCTTCAGTTTTTTCCTAGTAAATTGCAGGAGTACCTCATATATAGATTTCTAGATATATTCAGTACCACAAATACTTTCTAATATACCCCTAATAAATTTGTGTATGATGTCCTCTTATAAATGAAAATTCTTAATTCTAATGGAGTCAAAATTATCACATTTTACCTTATGACTTAAGTTTTGGGGATCTTGATTTAAGGTCATTCCCTTCCTTAAGACTACAAATATATCTTTCCACATTGTATTTTATTATCTTCATGGGTTATTCTTTTACAATTAATTTTAGTTCATCTGAAATTTTCATAAATATCTGCATATATATGGTATAAGAAGAGATGCAATTGTATTTTTCTCCATAGAGTAAAAGATAGTTTTCCCCACACTGTATTAATTTCCCCCCTATATCTGTGGTACCATTTTTTATATACATAGAGCTTAGATAACTATGTGTATATAGTTACCTATTAACTTGAATTTATATTTTTATATTGACCTTATTGTTTCTTTCTGCAACACTACCACATTGCCTTTACTATCTTACTTTTATCAAGCAATAGGCTTTCTCAAGATACCCCTTTCAATCAGATTTTCAGATGCAATTCAATAAAATCCACTCTGTCTATATGTCTATATGAGATATAAAGTATCTCACAGACTCTCCAGAAAAGGTTGGTAATGAAGATTGTATGCTATACAGCCAGAAATAATGTTCAAACACCCCACAGGGAATGAATCCCCTAATCAACCAAATGTCGTCACTACTCATGCCCACACTAAAATTCGCTCAACCAGCAACAAGGACACTAGTACTAAATACCCAAAGCTCTTCCACTGCTCCCTTGCTAGACATGGTCGCCACAATGCACACAAAAGGACACAAACGCATATCCGTTCCTAGAGGACTATGATGAACCACCATAGTGATAGCAGTTATCCCCCTCTTGCATATGACCATAGAAGAATCCACCTAACAGGTCTCCATTGCAGAGTTTAGTTGCTATTAGAAAAACCAAAACTGGTTTGGAGCCTTCTAGAAACTTCTCAGAGAACTGTCATTATTTGACCTGTCTGGCGCATCCCTGGATAGCTCCATTGATAGAGCTTGCATTTACTTGACCTGATTCAGAGCTTGCTTATTGCAAACAACCTTCTCCTCAGGGACATTTGCTATAAGTAATCAGCACCAGTTATTTAACGTGCCATTGACTGAGGACATAATAATAGTAAGGCAAAAAAGAAGCTGACAAAAGCAGTTAAAGTGAAAACTAAGCAATGAGGTGTCCACAGAGGACCCTGAAACACTCAAACATATTCTTGTGAATCTATGTACAAGCATAGAGAAGTGTAAAAGTGTGCCAAGGGCCATTTGAAGACCTCAGAGGGCCCTAATCTTTCACAGTGGGCTGACCTTGAAGGTCTGTGAAAGCAAGAAGTGAAGGCTAAGGCAGAGTTGTAAACTCCCTGACTAAATATCAAAACAGTGCTCAAATATGCACATAAAACTTACTGGTTCAAGCATTTAAGGAAATCTCACAAAGATCAATAAATTGCAACCATGTGACAGTTAGTTGTGATTCACATAAAAGTGTCATATTAACTCTAGGACCACAAAGGAAACTTGTGACCTCTTTACAGAAAAAAATTCAATTCTCTTTACACAAGACACATTATATTAAGCAAACCAAAATCTAAAATCATCTGAAATCTGCCTCCCTTCCTGACTTTCAATTTCTATAATTATTTCCACCATTCACCTAGACTTGAAATTGTAAGCTAGCTCACTCACCCCTCCAGTCTAGCCTACTCAGTGGAGTAAAATTGATCTGCCGCTGAGTCAGAGCAAGGGGCACAATAAGGGAGTTGGTGATGCTTGTTGACTGTGAATAGATGCAAATGGGAGAGGTAGTGCGTGTGCTGTAGTAGCGCCAATATAGCCTTTTGGCCTGACCAGGCCTCCCCAATGGCAAGGACTTTTTCCTTTTGTTCCAGTAATCTATTCTAACGCAACATGTACGAATTACACAAAGATCTTCTAATCATCTGCCATTTCATGGTTAGTGCTTCTGAAATCAAAGCAACAATTCTCAGAGTTCTATTTTCATTTCTCTCCCAGAATTCACTCTTAAGTGCTAAACAGTGTTCTCCTGAATGTGACTAGACTGTGATTCTCTGCCTCCTGGATATGTTCTGAACAAATAGCTTGGTTCATTGGCCACATTAACTCATCTGCATAAGTTAATCACCATGTAGCCACAACAGTTTTAATAAGATCCATTGGGGAACATGACTGTCTTTGTTAACCACTAGTGTCTTACTTCAGAGAAGCATCTGGAGACCAGAGGGTAATCAGTGATGACAAGAGTTATAATGAATCGCTAGGGGCATCCTCTGGTCCTACCTGTGATGGTGGCATGGGCCAGAGGAACACAGGAGATTAATTAAAAGTTGAATTTTCCTCTGGGTCATCTTAATAGGAGGTCCCTATAGACCTGTAATTTGTCAAAAGTAACCAAACTCTGCCTTCTTCCTTCCCTGAACTTTGTGAATGTTCAGATTACAAACACTGAACCTCTTGAGTGCCTTTGGACCCAGCAGAGCAAGAACAAATTAGTACCCTATAATCTTATTCCTTTGTGCACAGCTGCCTTGTCATTAAGAGAAAACACAATGTGCAAAGACGATTTTTAATCTAGATTATATTTAACTACTTCATGCAGGCCCTGTGTGGGTAGTTAGTCCACAGAATTCATTTATTTTTTTCTCTTCCAGCTGAATTGGTCTGTTGTCTTAGGTTTATTGGAATCAAGTTCAAGATAATAAATTTTTATCATCGAAGAAAATTGCAACTGGAAAAAGTCATAGAGTCCGCCTGCTGCAGCTAATTCATTTTACAGATGAGAAAGCTAATGTTCCGGGTTACACGACTTGCCTTGGGCCACATAGAAAAATTGTGATTGGACCAGATTTACAACTAGAATTCTAATCTCCTCGTTTAGTGTTCTTCCAAGGAAAATTGTAAGAATGTCTACCATGTGAAGACAAATGTGAGAAAAAATAAGAGATTGTTTTAAACGAATTGTACTTAGGAAAGTATGATGCCTTACTAGTTCTGTGAAATTTTGGCCTCTTTCTCCTTTTTCCTTTTCCTCTCCATCCTCACTGCCATTGTTCGTAGTAACTCACACTC